TTTAGCCCTTTCCTAGCTAATGGACAAATTTTGGGTTTGGTGTATGGTGGCGAGTGTAGAGTAGTATGACAAGGACAACAGAAGCATCCCTAATCTTTTGCTTGCCAGTGTGGGCATGTCCATCCATTAAATTTAATAATGAATAGTCAGTGGAAATAATGCACAAAGGGAATGAGAGGAAAGACAATGCAGGATGTTTAACGTTTCAGCCCATGGGGGAAGCTTATCCATGAAGATTTTCCACGTCCAGGGGTCAAAGGGAGGGAGGAGAGTGATGCTGGTGCAATAAGATTGGCAGTAACTGGTTTTTCAGCCATCACCTCAGATCCAGGTTCATTTCTTACCTCACAGGCACTGAAGAAGGACCTTTGGTGGGGAAAGAAAGTCTTCTACCAGATTTCTGATTATATCTATGGCAGGGGTCTCCTAAACGATAACTTCTGGGCATAGCTCTCAATGAGACTTGTCATGTAGGCACTTCTGAAAACCCCATCGTAGAACAGGTGGAAAAGTATGCCTCTTTCTGCTTAACAATAGAAAGCCGTATTCCGAGTGAAAAGGTTGTAAGTATTAGCTTGACATAAAGGTCCATTGGTGGTTTCCTTGGACTCCACTGGACTGTGGTTCATTGTGTTTAGTTATTATTTACCCTAGGCGGCAGCGCTCCTCCTCAGTAATCGGTAGCAGCTCCTCCTCTAAAGCTGCGTTCTCGGCGGCGGGGGTCCTTCTGCTCTGGGTCTTCGGGGCACTTCGGCGGCGGGTCCCGGAGCGAGTGAAGGACTCGCCGCTGAATTTCTGCCCCCGACCCGGAGCGGAAGGACCCCCCACCGCCGAAATTCCGCAGAGGGTGGCAAAATGCTGCCCCCCACATCCTGCCGCCCTAGGCGACCGCCTAGGGTCACCTAGTGGAAGCACCGGCCGTGTTTACTCTGAACTAAGACCCTGCTTGTAAAACTGGTTCTGTTCTAGCTAAGTTGGGAGGAAGGAGCAAATATCAGGTTTCAGCATTAAGGGCCTGATCCAAAGCCCACTGAAACCCTTGACTTCAAGTGTGTGGAGAGTAATTTACTAAGGCAAAAATGAGCTCATGTCTAGCTATGCTTGTCTGATGTATATGCCAAGAGAAGTTGCCAATTACACAGTCTAGGGGGCAGTAAAAGGTCAGGACCTTTTCAGTGCAGTATAGAACATTGAGCCTAAAATGAGAGAACAGGCGACAACATAAGATTGTGTGAATAAGGGTGCACTTGAGGTATTTACAGTCTGGGCCTGTTGTCCTAGACATTAGATCTGTTTTTGAGGAGATGGGAGGAGAGAGAGAGCCTTGTAAACCATTCATATTGCCATTCTATGCTTTCTAATACCGGCTTGATTTCTTTGCTACAATACGCCCATTGTTTATCCTTGAAAGAGGTGTTAAGATCCAACTCCAGTTTTTGGCTTGCCTGAACTTGTAGGAGAAAGATTTCATAGCTAGCTAAACACTGAGCGTGCAACCTTGGCCTGGCCTACACTTAAAAAGTAGATTGACCTAACTTCCTTGCTCAGGGCTGTGAAAAACATCCTGCCCTGAGTACCGGGGTTAGATCAATCTAACCCCCAGTGTAGCTGCAGCTAGGTTAACAGAAGAATTCTTCTGTCAACCTAGCTACTGCCTCTCGGAGAGGTGGATTAACGACATAGACAGGAAAACCCCTTCTGTCGAAGTACGAAGCATCTACACTACAGTGGCATAGCTGCACTGCCATATGGCCTCCTCCACACTACAGACGCTTTGCTGGTATAGTGATACTGGCAAAGCCCACAAGTGTAGTGTACTTATGCCAACAGAAGGAATTTTTCTGTCATACTGGTAACACCACCTCTCTGAACAACATTAGCTGTGCTAAGAGAGGCATTCTCATGCCGGCATAGCTGGATCTACACTGGGGGTTTTGCTGACGTAGCTATGTCAGCTGGGTTGTGTTATTTTCATACCCCGGAGTACATAGCTATACCAGCATAACTTTGTAATGTAGACCTGGCCTTACTCATGTTGGCTAGCACTTATTCCCATGAGTAGCCCCACAGCCATGAAGAGGACCTCTTGTGTGAGTGTGTGTCATTAATATGCACAAATGTTTGCCAGTGTGAGCAAAGGGTTGTAGATTAGATGTAATTAAGTGATTTTGTGCGATGTGATTTTGCTAATGTTTTTGCTTCCAAGGGGTAATTTTCCCTTGGGTCAAAAATCATTTAATGTCCTTCCAATTCTTCTTAAATTCTTATTCTTGAACAAATAATTTAGGAAGGGATTTTAAAAAGCAGCCAACAGTGGCCTAACTTTGTTCCCATTGAAGTCAATGGGAGTTTGAGGAATCAGTTTTGAACCTTAGTTATTGTGCCAGTGCAATACATCACTGCAAAATTAATTTTCCCTAGGTTTGAAAGAAGGTATCACATTTGATTTTCCATCTATCATCTATTTTCATTAAGGCAATTAACACCTTGGATCTAAGCACAGATTGTTTCCATACACGTAATATTAGCCTCAGACAAACGTATAATTGCGCACGTGTTTTTGTGGCGTTGCAAAACTTTTTAAAAAATGAGCTCAATGGGCCAAATGCATCTCTAGTGTAATTCGTTTTAATTCAACTGAATTACACCAGGATGAATTTGGCCCAATCTGGAGAACTCACTTCTCTCTAAAATGTCACTTATTTATGTTGAATATGGACATTCCTAAAATGGGTAGCTCCACATTTATTTATATTCTTTGGCCCTGATCTGATTCCCTATGAACTCAGTAGCAAAACTCCCATTGAATTCAATGGAGCAGGTTCAGACATCTATACAGTATCCCCAAAATAAAGATCTCTTCCTTGGATCAGTGCTGGTTCACTAAGGCTCTGGTTCAACAAGGCACTTGAGAACATGTCTAGCTTTAAATATGAGGAGTCCTATTAACTTCAATGGGACAACTCATGCACTTAAAGTTAGGTACATACTTGAGTACTTTGCAGAATCAGGATCTAACTAGTTGAGAAACCTATTAAAAAGCAAGAGTTCTGTTGCGCAATGTGTCCTAACTTCAGAGACACCTGTGGGCTGTGATGAGAGGACCGACGACACACTTCTGAGTGAGCGCACCTTTTAAAGTGTGAAGGGACTGTCATTCCAGGAATAACCTCATCCAACGTCAATTACTTTAGTGTGGATAGCCTATCAGTCAGTGAAAAACACAATCGTGTCATTTATCAGAGGGGTAGCCGTGTTAGTCTGGATCTGTAAAAATTGACTGTGAATGGCTAGCCAACTACAAAAACAGTTTCTCCTCCCTTGGGGTTCACACCTCAACTGCTAGAAGAGGGCCTCATCCCCCCTGATTGAACTAACCTCGTTATCTCTAGACTGATTCTTGCCTGCATATTTATACCTTAAGGTGACCAGACAGCAAGTATGAAAAATTGGGATGGGGGTGGGGGGTAATAGGTGCCCATATAAGAAAAAGCCCCAAATATCGGGACTGTCCCTATAAAATCGGGACATCTGGTCACCCTATTATACCTGCCTCTGGAAATTTCCACTACATGCGTCTGATGAAGTGGGTATTCACCCACGAAAGCTTATGCTCAGGGCCGGCTCTAGGCACCAGTTTACCAAGCAGGTGCTTGGGGTGGCCACTCTGGAGAGAGGCGGCACGTCCAGCTGTTCGGCGGCAATTCGGCGGATGGTCCCTCACTCCTGCTCGGAGCGAAAGACCTCCCACCGAATTGCCGCTGCAGATCGCGATCGCGGCTTTTTGTTTGTTTGGCTGCTTGGGGTGGCCAAAACCCTGGAGCCGGCCCTGCTTATGCTCCAATACATCTGTTAGTCTACAAGGTGCCACAGGACCAGGGCCGGCTCCAGGGACCAGCCCACCAAGCATGTGCTTGGGGCGGCACCTGGAGCGGGGGGGCGGCACGGTGCTCCGGCCTGAGAGCGGGGCCCAACTGGGCTTGCTGCCCTCCCCACGGTGCTCCAGCCACCGGGGAGAGCGGAGCCGCAGCAGGCTCGCCGCCCTCCCCCGGCGCTCCGGCCGCCGGGATGAGCGGAGCCGCGGTGGGCTCGCCGCCCTCCCCCCGATGCTCTGGCCGCCGGGGAGAGCGGAGCCCCGGCCGGGCTCTCCACCCTCCTCCCAGCGCTCTGGCTGCCGGGGAGAGCGGAGCCCCGGCCGGGCTCTCCGCCCTCCTCCTGGCGCTCCGGCCAGTCGTGGAGAGCGGGCCCGCGGCCGGGCTCGGCGCCCTCCCCTGCCACGCTGGGGTTGGGGTGGGGTGGGGGAGGCACGGCAGGAGGCTTTTTTGCCTGGGGTGGCAAAAAAGCCAGAGCCGGCCCTGCACAGGACTCTTTGTCATTTTTTACAATCTCGTCGTTGTAGCCTAACAGATTTTAAAGCTAGAATTGAAACCGTTGTGAGCATCTACTCTAACCCTGCATAATGTAGGCCAGACAATTTCACCCGGTTGCTTTTCCATTGAGCCCGGCAACTTGTGGTTGAACTACGGTATAGCTTTGATGTAAAGACTCAAAGTGGCAGAGAATCCACCATGTTCCATGGTAAGCGGTTCCAGGGGTTAATTACTCCCACTTGTGCTTCATTTACAGTTTGAATTTGTCTAGCTTCCATATCTAGCCTGGATCGTTCCTTTGTCAAACAGATTAAAGAGCCCTCCACTATCAAACAACTTCTCTCTGTGCAGGTCGTTATAGACTACCATCCTCTTAATCTTCTCTTCAATGAGCTAAATAGACCGAGCTCTTTAGGACCTATTTTTAAAGATATGTAGGCACCTAAAGTTGCTATGTCTAATAGGATTTTCAAAAGCACATCGATGCAAATCAATGGGAAGCTTTTGAAAATCCTACTAGGCACCTACCTGCATCTTTAGGCATTTAAATACCTTTAACAATCTGGCCCTTTATGTCTCGCAGTGCTGGGTGTGTTTTGTAGACCTCAGAACATACTTGTAGCTACAAAAAAAAGGAAACTTTTTTTTAAAGTTGCTCCTAGTTACAGTGAGTCCATTACACAGTAATACAAGGCAGCTCATATGCATTTTACAAGGCTGCAATTGGCTGATCATCGATTACTGCTTCCTAAAATAAACTCCTGGCCCCAGCCACAGCACTGGGCTTCCCCTTCTTGACAAAATTTACAGCTATTTTCCTTCTGGGAAATTCTTGTGGCTGTAAAATGAAGGCAAGTCTCTAGCTCTGCCTGCAGGGAATTAGAAAAGCCTCAATGGATTGACAGCATTCTGGAACAATTGGATACACAACACGCTCTTGATTATGTGAATTTGTCCCTTTGATCAGACACATCTTCCCCTGCTCTCTTTCAGGGTCATAAACATAGGCGAGTCCTGCGGACATGGTTGTAAACTATGCTAAAAGTGAAGCGCTAGAGCAGGGTGAAACACAAGCTTTGGTTGGTGGCCAAACAGGGAATTGCAGAGGGAACTGTTTTGAGAACAAGAAGTGACCGTGCGATCCAAAAGCCATTGGAGTGGGCTGTAGTCCACGAAAGCTTATGATCTAATAAATTTGTTAGTCTCTAAGGTGCCACAAGTACTCCTGTTCTTTCTGCGGATACAGACTAACGCGGCTGCTACTCTGAAAAAAGCCATTGGGTTTCAATGATAGTCACTCTACTGACAGATGTCCAGTAAGAGGCAAAATAATTCCATCATCATGGGTTCAGCTTGTCTCCTCTGATCTGCATCCCAGATGTCTGTAAAGTACATGGATTTAGTCTGCGATTGTCCTTTGGGTTTCATATCGTGCTTTATTTACACCTGATTATGTAAGGAACACGTTAATAGTAGCCATTAATACTAACCCCTATCATGTGACTCTGATCCATATTGCATGGCTGGGGCCAGGAAATAAAGTTTAGACCTTTAGCAGCACTCCCGTATGTCACATCTTCCTTACATCCTGGCCGTGCTTCCTGGTTCTCTGCTTGCTTGGAGGTTACTCTCCTAGTGTTCCAATGGGGACATCTATTTTCTCTTCAGCTCCTCTTATGTAGCAGCGGTGCCTGGTGGAAGCAACTGGGCTCAGTTCCTGGTTTCCAGACGCTTTTATGACCATCCAAGGTTGTTCTTTCCAGCGAAGAACCTGGATGCCTGTAGTAGCATCTGTAAAAATGGAGGAGGAGCAAGCATAGGGTGACCAGACAGAAAGTGTGAAAAACTGGGACGGGGTGGGGGGTAATAGGAGCCTATATAAGAAAAAGACCCAAAAATATTAAATCTATAAAATCGGGACATCTGGTCACCCTAAGCCAGCACCATGTGACCTGTCAGTTTTCTATAGACCCCCCCACCCCTCCACCCCCGAAAGTGCTCCAGAGAGCACAGTTGAGACTGTCTGCATTAGTACCTCCAAGATTAGGTTCGGAGTACAAGGAACAGTACTTTCCTTGTACTCCTGGAAGAGTGAATCAGGGGGGTTCTAGCATGTGCAAGTTGACACACCGGTATGTGGATTTATTTTCTCTGCAGACTGTTGTCTATTTGTCATAGTGAATGCATTTGCTAGATGTCACTAGTTCCTGCCAGACGGCTGGCAGGTTTGTTCTAAGGCCTGAGGTGAGCACAGAATAATTAAAATGATCGGGAGCGTTAGCAGTAGGGATGGGTGAAGCGCTTCAGGGGAAACAGAATGACCTGAATCTTTGCCAGAAATTCAGACTGAAACCAAATAGAAACTGTTCAGGCTTTTTTAAAGGAAAATCAGCTGATTCTCAATGATATGTTTGTCCTTTCTGTTGGGCTATTGTGCGTCTGAGCTTGGCTGGGAATGGAAGCAGAAGAGACCAAATACTGAGAGGAAAGGTTGTTCTCTTTGTATTCCTGACCTAACTGGGAGCAGACAATGTGAGAAACCTCCTGAGGGACCCTGTTGTTGAGAGATTTCCCATGCAGTTAGGCAGGGCCATAGAGAGGAAGTATTGTCCAATGGTTAGAGTGCTAGTTTGGAATTTGGGAGATCATTTCCCTGCTCCACCACAGATTCATTGTGTGACCTTGGGCAAGTCACTTAGGCCCAGATCCTAGAAGGTATTTAGGTGCCTAGCTCTCTGGGCTCAGGTCCCCATCAGTAAAATGGAGATAAGAGCCCTGCCCTATTTCACAGGGGTGTTGTGAGGATAAGTACATTAAAGATTGCAAGGGGCTCAATACTATGGTAACGGGGGGAGGAGGCTGTAGGATCCCAGAGCTCAGGCTGCAACCCCAGTTCAAACCTCTACACTGCAATTAAACAGCCCCTTAACCCAAGCCCCCTCAGCCTTAGTCAGATGGCACCAGCCAGCCACAGGTGTCTAATTGCAATCTAGACATACCCTCTTCGTTTGGTCCCGGTGTACTGGGTCCCTCCCTGCTGTAATGCTATTGAGATCAGTAGAGTTACACTAGGGATGCAATTGACCTGGCCTTTCCAATAGAATCATAGAATATCGGGGTTGGAAGGGACCTCAGGAGGTCATCTAGTCCAACCCGCTGCTCAAAGCAGGACCAATCCCCAGGTAGATTTTTGCCCCAGATTCCTAAATGGCCCTCTCAAGGATTGAACTCACCATCCTGGGTTCACCAGGCCAATGCTCAAACCATTGAGCTATCCCTCTTGTTGCAGATTCCCATGAGGTTAGATGACAATAAGTAGAGAATGTCTTATGGGGCAGTCTATGCTCTCATTTTCACCAGTGTAAATATAGAGTAAGTCCCATTACCATCAGTAAAGTTACTCCAGATATGTATCTGTTTAATTGAGAGCAGAGAGCTCTCCCTTTTCATGTTGCTGCAGAGGAGCAGGGGTGTGGTTAGGTTCAGAGGGAAGATTTTGCTGCAACAGAAATGTCTTTAGCATGCAAATGGAAACCCCATAAATAAGGGAAACTGCAGAGCTGAAACGACAGCCCTTGTTTAAAGGAATGCTGTCAATGAGCTTTTAAAAATAGATTTTAATTTTCTCAGCTGTTTAAAAACACCTCCTGTCGTGTTAAGAATGATCACAGTTCCTTCACTTTATACGCAGTTATTTTTCTTTTTACTAGGCATTGGTTTGTTTGTGCTGTCCTCCCCATGGCTCTAAAGTTGTATGGGGATTGATTTTAGGGACATATGAATTGTCACAGTGGATGAGACCCATGGTCCACCTAATTCTGTAACCTGTCTCTGACATTGGTCAGGATAAGATAAAGAGTCAGGTGCAAGAAATCCTGCAGTTGGAAGTTATGGGGTAACCTACCCCCAGGAAAAATTTTCTCCTGACCCCTGTTAATTAGAGGTTGGCTTAAGCACTGAAGCATGAGAGTTTATGGGGTCCAGATCCTCAAAGGTACTTACGTACTTAACTCAAATTGAAATCATACCTTTGAGGATCTGGGCCTACATCCCTTCCACATCTCTTGATAATTTTGTAACGTTTACACTATAACCCTGGATCATTGTGTTATCCAAATAAATGTTAAATTCCTTTTTGAATCCCATTAAGATCTTTGCCACAGTGATGTCTTGTGGCAATGAGTTCCACATGCTCAATGTGTAAAATAGCATTTTCTTTGATCAGTTTCGCATTTGCCACCATTTCATGTCATGGAACATATCCCTTGTTCTTGACTTAGGAGACTGGCGTAGCTCCACTGACAGCCGTGAACTCGCTCCTGATTTACAATAGCGAAAGTGGAGGAGAGTCAGGCCCCATCGTTGGAAATGGTACCATCAAGGTTGATGCATACATTGCCCTGTTTCCAGAAGCATGCACTGATGCTGTTTTCACCACTCGAAGACCTGGCTGTGCCTGTATGCACAAAGGAAGGAGAAAGTATATGGTAAGGAGACTACCACCCACTGTAAAAGGGCCAGGCACTGTGACTCCTTGCACTCCACAAAGGTAGCGGCGTTGGCCTCTGCAAAGATGGTCGGAAGGAGAAAAAGAGGGGTCACGGCACCAACCCTTCCTCCTCCCACACAGCCAGTTAGCGGCAGGCTCACAGCACCCTCTTTATGGGTTGCACAGTGGTTAGGGGGAGCCAGTGCCCCTCCAGGCTCCGGCTGAGTTGGAGCAGTTCAGCACTGCTACCTACTTGTGGCTGTAGCCACACATTGTCATTTGTTATTGGTATAACGGAGCTCTGCTCGGCTGTGCCCTCTATCAGTCCCCACCCTGCTTCTGACATGCCCCCTCTTTATAGCAAGGGTTGGGGGTGGCTTTGTATCAGCAGAGCTTTCCTCAATACAAAGGGAATCCTCGGCTGGTTGTTTCTTGCCTGTTTCCACTCAGGCAGCGTAAAAGGGATGTAGCCCACTGGAGAATGTGGCTCTTGAACCGTTCTATTTGCATACACAGCTAGTAATGTTTCAAACAACACTACATTCAAATGCACGAAGGAACCTTCAGCGTGCACTAGCAGGGTCTACATGGACCAATTCATGTGCAACACAATAGTGCATTTTAGAAACCACACCTTCATAGCCCACAATTACTGCTCCATGTGGACAAACACTTAGATACAAGCCAGGGAGCAGGGGTGTCACAAACTCCACTGGGAAAGGGGTAAAGTCAACATAAGTTGAGTAACCATTTCCTGTGTTTTTTTCCAGTGGTTACTGGATAAACAACAATTGCATTTTATTTTTGAAATCAAGGGTGTTTTATCAGTGTTGAAACCTAAAATCAGAAGCCCTAGCTATAGATTTTTTTCTGAGGGGGGAAATCAAATCATTTCAGCAAAGCAGACAGTTCCTTATAAAAAATGTCCATTTTTTGGAAACCACGTTGTGACGGTGCCCCCCATAAGGCTTTATGGAAATATGCTTATGAATATATATATATGACATAACGAGCATATGTTTTATGCTACATATGCCATTTAACATATCTCTGTAAAGAGTA